CCACAATTCAAGTCCCACACCTGGGTGCTTGCTTTCTCTTTTTCTCTCTCGCTCTCTCTCTCTCTCTCTCCCCCCCCCCCCTATCTGGTCAAATTAAAATAAAATAATTCTTGAAAAAATATATTCTTTCAGAAAATTAAAAGAGGAAAGTCATGCAAAACTCTAAAGCAAGCATCTTTCTGCATGTATGATATCTTCACCTATATATTAAATAGTGCTTAGGACCAGCAGGTGGTGTTGTAGTTAAAGTGTTGAACTCACACATAGCCAACTGTGGTTCAAATCCTGGACCTGGAAGCTTGCTTTTTCACTCCCACTCCCTTCTCTGTCTGTCTCTGGTGAATAAATAATAATAGTAATAATAAATGACATAATTTTTTTAAAAGGCAATACTTAAAATCCAGATTTGCTTTTTTATTTCCTTTTGTATTACTAAATACCATGCCTGTTCTATGTAGTCTATCAACACATATTTGTTGTGTGCAGACATTTGTTGTGTATACGCTATACCCTCTACTTAGAATGGCCTTCCTCCACTGTTCTTAGGGCTTGTTCATTCTGTTCCTCAGAGCTTAGATCAGATGTTAATGCCTCTAGAGACCCTCCCTGATCACGCTATTTAAAATGACCTCCCCCTAGACCAGCATATAGTGTAGTGGTTATGTCATTGGACTCCCATATGGCCAACCGTGGTTCGAGTCCTGGACCTGGTGACTTGAAAGTCACTCTGGGCATGTGCGTGCATGCCCAAAATGCTGGAAGGAAAATGGAGGAGAAGGGATTGCGGCATGGTCATTCTTCCTGGGGGGTGATTTCTCACTTTCCCTTTCACTGCCTCTCTCTCACCAGCTGCAAGCACACGTGCCTTAAGGCAAAAACCTCTTTTAAAAAAGGTAATAAAAAATAAAGTGACCTCCCCCAAGTTATGCCCGATCTCAACTATTTTCTGCCTCCCTACTACTGTGTAAGCTCCTCACATAGAAAGGCCAGACTCTTCTTGGTCTCTTTTTTTATTATTCATGATAGAGCACATGTGCATACACATGAGAGCAAGAGAGAAAAAGAGAGCGAGAGATGAGCACCCTCCACAGGATCTGTTCATGCCATGATCTCCTTCCTTCAGTCCTTCAGCCCATCAGATTTTGGGCACACATGTGCATGACTGGCTTCTTTTTCGGGTGAACCAAGCCAGGGATTCAAAGTGGGTTGCTATTTGGGATCCAACTTCTCTTGAACAGTTTTACCATTGTGCCACAGAACCAGTCCCTTGTGGGTTTGTTCAACTTCTTACATAATATATTGGCACATGATGGGTACTCAATAAATATGTTAAATGAATGAATAAGGGCCAGCCAGTGATGTGGTGGTTGAATTGGCTGGATCCCACATGGCTGACTATACAGTTTGTGTCCCAGATCCAGTGGCTTGAAAAACACACCAGGAGCATGTCCCGAGAGAAGAATAGAGAAGGGATTGCAGAGTGGCCATCCCCCCAGGGTGCTTTCTCACTTTCCCTCTCTCTCTCTGTCTCTGTCTCCAGTGAGCACAAGTGCCGTATAGCAAAAGAAAGAAAGGAAGAAAAATAAAACAATGAAAAATAGATACTATTGCTATTTGCTTCTCTTCTTAAACTGATTATTCAATTGGACAAGAGGAAGAAGCTAAATATTATCCTTTATTCCTCCTTCTCCTTGCCCCATAACTCTCTTGTGTTAGAGAGATAATGCTTACATTATCAGCATTTTATAATGTTGGGGTAATTTAAAGGTCAGTACTCATCACCTCATTAAGTGTATTGCTTGATTGAATAAAGACCTTTCAATAATGGAAATGTATTATTAATGTAATTCTTTAATTTGTATTTTAATTAGGTGGTTCACAGAGACTTGAAACCTAGCAACATTCTTTATGTGGATGAATCTGGTAATCCAGAATCTATTCGTATTTGTGATTTTGGCTTCGCGAAACAGCTGAGAGCAGAAAATGGGCTTCTCATGACTCCTTGTTATACAGCAAATTTTGTTGCACCTGAGGTAATTGTGAGAGAATTTGCTTATAGCATTTCAGTATCTTTGAAAACGTGTGTGTTTAATATAGAATAGTTAATAATCATTTCATTGAAAACACTCACTGAATGAATAACTTAAAATACCAACCCCTTATTTCTGTTTTGTGCTTCAGTGACATCTGATAGCCTATAGAAGAAAAATCTAAATTTCTCAACAACACATTACAAAATCTCTTCAATCTCTCCAGTGTCCCCTACTTGAAGTTCTGGTCACACTAAACTCCTTGCCTGTCACTAAGCCTTCTCTGCTGCCTCACCTCTACCCTTTGAATATCCTCTGCCCTCTTCTACCTTTTCCCTTGCCTACTGAATTCTTACCTATAGGTCTATGATAAATGGGTTGTTCCCTATCCTTCCCTCTCTCTTCATATCAAGAATAAATTTTAGGGCAGCCTCTGGCCTGGTGGTTAAGGTGACTGGGCCAATCATGTGACTTTAATCCTAATCCTTGTGGCTCCAAAGAGATGCCGAACACATGGGCGTGCAAGCCCAAAATTCTGACAGAATGAAGAAATGGAGAACAGATTGCAGCAGCATGACCACACATATTGGTGTGTGCTTTCTCCCTCTCCCTGTCTCTCTTTCTGAGAAGTGCATGTGCCTCCTGGCAAATTATTTTTCTTAAAAAATAATAAATTATTTTCTCATCTTTATACCCATTGCACTTTAGACATGATTTTCTTATAATGCCTAACATGTTTAATTGTTAATTGTTTTTATATTTATCTCCCCTGCCAGATCCACTTTTTCCTTTTTTCCAGTATTTTCTCATAGCATATGCTTGATAGTTGATTATTACAACTTGAGTGGGCCCGGCCTCTGTGGTACAGTGGTAATGGAAATGTCTTGCAAGGCTGGAAACCATCCCGGGGTCAGCCTGAAAAATATGCCGGGTACATGCACAGGTGCCCAGAATCCTGAGCATGTGGAAGACTGGGGAACGGGGAATCACAGCATGACAGGACTCTATCTAGGGTGTTTTGTATGTCTCTCTCTTCTCTTATCTTTCTCTCACATGCACATGCACACTTTATTTTGAAAAAATACTTGAGAGAGTCAGACTATATATATAATTATATATATGTAAAAATACTGTTTTGTCCTCAATCATTTGTACTAGATTATATGTGTTTTGTAATCATTTCTGTAGAACCAGACAAAATATAAATTCATTATACATAAACTAATTTTCAATTTTTTTATATTCCTCTGTGTGCCTATAGTGGCACTCTTTAAATATTAATTCAAATATCAAAATTAAATTTTAATACATATGAATTAGTAGAACATTCTAGAATATGATTAATATGTTAACATACCGTTGATGTTTTCTTATTTATGTGCATTGATTTTTGAGATACAGTTCAGTTCACAGCCTATTCAGATTTTCATAAAAAGAAGTTTTGTTATAATACTGATTTTTTTTTCCCTAGGTTTTAAAACGGCAAGGCTATGATGCTGCTTGTGATATATGGAGTCTTGGTGTCCTTCTTTATACAATGCTTACTGGGTGAGTGTATGCCTTTTATTATAAGCAATTATTCATAAATATTTTGCTTAAATTATCTAGGTATTGGGACCAGCAGGTGGCATAGTAGTTAAGGACACTGGACTCCCGCATGGCCGACTGTGTTTTGAGTCCTGGACCTCGTGGCTTTGTTTCTCCGCTTTCTCACTTTCCCTCTCTCTCTCACTCTGTCCCTCTCTGGTCAAATTAAAATAGGTAAATAAATAATGTTAAATAAAATAATTCTTTTAAAAATTAGATATTTTTGAATCTCTATGTTGTAATATCTTCCTGTATTTTCTCATGCTACCTAGTATATACAATCCTGTGATAGTTCAACATTTATAGCTGTATCATTACTGACTTCCCGTAATGTACTATTCATGTCTTCAGACCTTAAATTGATTTTTTCCATACTTTTTTGTACTCATTATGACATAAATATAAACTATTTTTAATATTTTAGCCTGTGATGTGGCATATTTTGGAATATGTTATTGTATGTTAAGTCTTTAGTATTTTATAGGCTATACTGGAGCTTCATTTTATTGATTTTTTTCACTTTAGGAGATTTTAATAAAGTATTATATTAACTAAATCACTTAGAATATTTTTGGACATTGCAAATAAATATAAAGATTACCAACAAAAAAAATTGAATTCATTGACATTTTAATTTATTTTAGTTACACTCCATTTGCAAATGGTCCTGATGATACACCAGAGGAAATACTGGCACGAATAGGTAGCGGAAAATTCTCACTCAGTGGTGGTTACTGGAATTCTGTTTCAGACACAGCAAAGGTAAGTACGACTTCCTCTCACATTTGAGAAAATAATTTTCCATAATCCAGAAGAAGAAGAAATACTGTCAATTAGAATTTTTTGTTTATAAAGTAATATGTTGAAGTGATGTTACCAAATAACTTGAACTCAAAAGTGCATTGATTATTTTGTTTCTTTCCCAGAAGGCATTGTTTTGACCCTACTAGCAATACATGTAAAAGCTATTTCTTATTGACAAACATGATGAATAATAAAGGTGGTAGTCCTCATGATCTTTCTGTTTACTGTGAGCCTCATACTGCACATCACCTAAATTATAACAACTCTTTAAAATAGCTGGTAGTGTCCCCATTTCACAGAAAGAAACCAAAGCCCAGAATTTTAGTGTAAGCATGGTCATAGTTTATGTACCAGGTATGTGTGGGCACTTCAGATTAAATATCTGATTCCAAAGCTTGTGTTCTCTAGAATAATTATAGCATGTTCTTGTTTTTATTTATATTATAAATAAACATATCTTGTATTTTTCTACAGTAAATGGTGGCATAGTTTTATAGCATCTACTTAAAATCAGTTTGAAAATCCCTTCAGACTAAAGATCTACCATCCCTTGAATAGCACTGACTTGCTTTCCAACTCTGCTTTACTTTTGCTTTGTTCATAGAAAACGTTCTTTTAAAATAGTAAAGTTTTTCATTTCAAAATAAGAAAAACATAGAAGAAATAAAGAAGATACACACTGGTAAAAGTGCTTACTGATTTTGCATAGGAGTGGAAGTTTGATTACATAAATTTTTGATGTGCTCTATTCAGATTCTTTGGGCATAGAGCATGAATCCTCATGCTTATAAAAAGGCAGTTTAACCCCAACCTGAGCCAGTGAGGGTCACACACATGTACATGCTCCTGGAATGTACGGGAAGCCCAGGGTATGAATCCAGGCTCCTCCCATGTGGCTTCATCATCACTGAGTATTATGTTACCACTGGTTTACCATGACTGGCCACTTGTTCTTCTTTTTCAGTAAGTTAAATAAAGTTGAGATTATCTCTAATTTTGTTTTCATTCACTTGCATCCCAGTATGCTTTTAGTGAGAGAGAAAGGGACAAGAGGGAGGAGAAACAAATAGAGCATTAAAAAAAATGTATTCAACTCTCTGTCTTATAAATTTCACATTATTATTATCAACTTTGTTGATGTATACAGTTAAGACTTGAAGCATGAAATGGGAGGAAGGATTCTATCATAATCTTGATGTGTCCCCTCAAATGCAGGTTGCACATATGAATGTCAGTCATTTGGGCCATATGTATCAAATATAGCTTCAAAAAGAATAAGACTATACTTGCCATTTGCTGAGCATTTAAGGGCCAAGGACTGTGCTAACATTTCTTTTTTTCTTTTTTTTTTTTTTGAGAGGTTTTTGCTGTTGAGTGTGTGTGTTCATCAGAGAGACAGAGAGAGATGGACATAAAGTGAGAAATCCCCCCCCCCCAGGGGGATGTTCAAGCCACAGTCCCTTCCCCTCCATTCTCCTCACGGGATTGTGGGCACTCACACACATATGCTCAGCATGAGTTTCAAGCTGCAGGGTTAAGGACTCTAACTACAGTCAGCTATGTGAGAATCCAGCGCCTTAACTACTATACCAGCTGATGGCCCTACTAACACTTTTTTTTTAATTGCAGAGTGCACATGTGCTTGCCTGAGAATGACAGACAAAGGACAGAACATCCCCCCCAATGGAATGTGGTCATGCCACAATCCCTTTCCTTCATTTCTCCATCATCTTGGGATTTGGGGCACACATGCACATGTACCTGATATGTTTTTCATGCCTCCAGGGCTGGTATTTGAACCATAGTTGGCCATCTGGGATCCAGCTCCCTTACCCACTAAGCTACAGGGCCAGCTCTATGCTAATACTTACAGCTGCATTGTTTAACTCTGTCCTCAGTGACCTTTGGAACATTACTTGTAAATCTTGCAATATTTCAGGTTATGAATAATGAGCAGTTGTGATCAAATTTGAGTCAAATGAAAGAGAAATTTAGGAGGCAGAATAAACTTGGTGATTTATTGAACATAAGAAATGAAGGAGGGGTTGGCAGGTGGCATGGTAGTTAAGAGCACTGGACTCACACATGACCAACCATGGTTTAAGTTCTGGATCTGGCAACTTGCTTTCTCACTTTCTGTCTCGCTCTCACTCCCTCACTCTGTATTTCTCTGGTCAAATTTAAATTAATTAATTAATTAAATGAAATAATTCTTTTAAAAAATGATGCAAAAGCAGATATCAAGCATCCAACCCACATTTCTACCTCAGGGAAATGGGTGGAGCATAGTGTCCTTCACCAAGATGTGCAATGCAAAAGAAGTTTTGAGAGGAGCTATAGTTACAGATTTGAACATGATTTTGAAATGTTTATGTGTTGTAATTAAGAAATGTATGTCTATTAGGCAACTGGCTATGTAGATATAGATCTTAAGGGAGAAGTCTGAGGTGGAGCTTCAAGTTAGAGTTGTCATCATTTGTGGTAGCTAAAGCTAGGAATGTGAGTGAGATTGTCTGAGCACAGTGGAGGAGAGCTAAGGAAGGAATTCTGGGAAGCACCACCATTTAAAGAGAAAGCTTAGAAGGAGTAACCATTGAAGGGGTAGGGAGAAGGTCAAAGTGACTTGGCCAAAAGTGCACTGGCTAACAGGCAGATTCGTTTCAAATGATAATAGAAATTGTTGTGCCCCTGGGCAGTTTTGCAAACTTTTGTGCATTTTAAGCACTTTTGCCCACTCTCAGAAATTGATAGGGGAGGTCCCTAAATTTTTTGCTTTTTATTTCTAATTCTGCTCAGCCTATTCCTATTTTTAGCTGTTAATAACTAAGAATAAGAAACCATAAATGTCTAATAGCAGAGGAGTACTTGGAACAGTATCTCCCCAATTATTAATATCTAGTCAACCAGTAGATTCTATGAGTGCTTTCTCCCATATACATCAATTCTTCAATTCTATCTACTTTTCTCCATCTCTCATACCTCTCCCTAAAGGTGTCATCTTTCACTATTCTCCAGGCCTGCCTCCTTTAATCTATTTTCCTCCATACTTTGTGAATGAGATCTCTCCAAAGGACAAACTTGACCACATTACCCCTTGCTTTAAGTGTTTCATTGACCCCAGAATAAGTCTACACTTACTAATATTGCTTACAAGGCCGTTCATGGTCCCTTCTCATCTCTCTCACCTTATGCACTGCCACATTCTCCTTAAAAGTAAATTTATGCCACAGCCACATTGCATTCCTGTCAGTTCTTTAACATTCTCTTAAACGTAAAGAACTTTTCTCCAAACACACCCCATCCTATCTGCCCAAAACACTCTGTTTCTCCCTTCCTTTCTATAATCCAGTTCCTGCTTATCATTTAAGATGCGCAACAGATACATTTTGGATGAAAATTTAAGTGGTAGATGGCTTTTTTTTTCTTTTTTTTTTTTTTTTTTTTGGGGGGGTTTTCCTTTGTGGGGTTTTTTTTTTTTTTTGGGGAGGTTTTCACTATAGGGCGCGTGCGCTTGCAAGACAGACAGAGAGAGACATAGAGACAGAAAGCGAGAAATCACCCCCCAGGGGGGATGGTCACGCCACAATCCCTTCTCCTCCATTCTCCTCTCGGGATCTTGGGCACGCACGCACACGCGCCCGGCTAGATGGCTTTTATAAATGACAACTGTGTTAGCATTTTGAGGAGTGTAAAACCAGATAATGATTACATAGATCTATATTCCACACATAGAAAAGTGTTCTGTTGTCTCTGGACCAGTGGGATTATGGGTGTTCTTTCACTTCTCTGTATTTTCTGATTTTTCTGTAATGTCCCTGAGTTGCTTTTGAAGTAGAAAAAAAATAAAAGGAACTCTAATCTTTGTGGAGGGAGCATTTAGAATCCTTTCATTAAATCCTTATCATTGGACATTTATGTGCTCATGTTCAGTATTACCAGCAGCACCAAAAAAGTCTTAAGTAGCTGAACATTATTTAGAAAATTGGGCCAGCCCTGTTGCACAGGGGTTAAGTACAATGTACCAGTAGCCAGATTCCACATGATTGAAAGCCATTTGAATCCCACCCCTTGAAAAGCTTGCCAAGGGTGTGTATATGCATGCCCCAAATTATTGACCAGATGGAGAAATGGAGGAAAAAGTCTTGCAGTGATCATGCTCCACTGGGGAGTCTCTCTCTCTCTCTCTCTCTCTATCTCTCTCTCTCTCTCTCTCTCTCAAGCACATGTGCACTTTGGCAATTAAAAGAAAGCTATTTTTTAAAGGAGAAAGAAGAAACCTACAAAAATGTATGAAACTTAGAAAATCCAAGGGATAAAAGAGCCAGAGTAGTTAAAAATGCATGAAGTGTGATAAATTAACCCTTTGTAATACACCAAAATTACTGTTGAGTAGCATAAATTAGAGACTGGGCCATTTGTTTTTTGAAGTTGTCATGTTCACCAAATTACTTTGAGCCCAAAAGGCTGGTAGTAGAAGAAAATAGTGTCATAGAACATAAAGAATACTCATCAGTATCATGAGAAAAAGAAAGGGAAAAAGGCTTGAGCTTATTGTATTATTCTTCTTCCCATTATAGGACCTAGTGTCAAAGATGCTTCATGTAGATCCTCATCAGAGATTGACTGCTGCTCTTGTGCTCAGACATCCTTGGATCGTCCACTGGGACCAACTGCCGCAATACCAACTAAACAGACAGGATGCGCCACATCTAGTAAAGGTGAGCAGCCCTGTTTGGTCATTGTTAACTGCACATCCTGTAGGTGAGGCAGGACTCTGAGAAGCCTTCTTACTTTAGAAAAAAAAGTCAAGATATGCCAAAATATCAGTGATAAAACTAGTTTAAGAGTGACTTGAGTTTCTGTCAGTCTACATAAGTGTTCACTATTAATAAGGACAGATAAGCTTACAGATTTCCTAACTTAAAGAGCATGACTTGCTGCCTCTCTTTTTAAAAGATTGTAAAGAAAAAAAGTTGAATAATCCTGAGAATCTCAACTGCTTGTTAAGGGCCTATTTCTGTCCTCTTTCATACACAATTTCAACCTCCTGCATTGACTTCTCCAGTTTTAAATCAGGAGATTTGACCAGTGTAGTTACTTTTATTACAAATCTAATAAAATCTACATACATTTGCATATGGGAAAATTATCTGAAAAGGAAAACTTTTATTTCTTGTTTATATATATGCAACTACCCATTGTCATTTTTGTTGCTACTTTTCTTTCTTTTTCTCAGGGTGCCATGGCAGCTACATATTCTGCTTTAAATCGTAATCAGTCACCTGTTTTGGAACCAGTAGGCCGCTCTACTCTTGCTCAGCGGAGAGGTATCAAAAAAATCACCTCAACAGCCCTGTGAATTGACCTCAGTGAGATATTTGGTACCATGGTGTAAGCTGATAGCACAAGTTCTGGCGACAGGTAGCACGTATCTGAGAGACACCTGTAAGCACACACTGTCCCAGCTGGTACCCATAATGCTGCTGCTCCTGCTGCTGCTCCTGCTTTCGTCTCTTCTCGCTTTAAATGATTGTTAGCAAGTTAGATTTTCCTGGAGCTTCGGATGAAATGAAAATGGAAGCATGGCGAAGATATATTCACTGAATCAACAAGAAAAAAAATGAACATATGAATACCACCTAAAAATACACTGAATAAAGTACTCTACACCATATAGCATTATTTTTATAGGAAATATTTCATGTCCCTTAAATATTCTTTGTTAGTTATAGGGATGGACAGTTTATGTTAAGCACTTAGCTTAAACAATCCGTTTATATTAGCACTGTATCCCTTGTGCCATCCAACATTTTGTATGTTTTTGTAAACAGTTCATATACAGTACATTTCTGTACTGCTTTCTTTAATGTATACATGCCTTGTTTAACTTGGAATCTATTATTATTAATCAATTGACTATTAAATCTGGTTAAATAGTTCACCTGGATTTAACAGTATTGTTGGACAGCCCTAAAAATGGCCAGATTGTGGAACAGCTGTTGAATGTAATACTTTCAAAATGTACATATCTTTCTCCACGTCTGTTTCACTGGTTTGTTCGTTTGTTTGTTTCTTAAAGTCAGGTGCTCTGTCATACTAACCTAGAGAGCTGTTATGGTAGAGAAAGTTATATATGTGTGACATGAAATCAGGAGTACACCTATGAAGTTAGTCCATGTACTTTGCAACTCCTTAGGGTTCTTTTTTCCTTAATTAAGAAAGTAGTCCTTGAACTTCCCAATCGTAATCTTATGTAGCATCTTTATTTAGTGTTAGGCACATAATTTGGGATTTTGCCAATATACATCAAAGGCCTTTCAGAGTCAAGGTAAAGAAACTGGCAAGGGAAATTTAACAGGTAATTGAAGTCCTATCGAATATTTCATGTTTCAATAGATAATTCTATATTAAACACTAAATTGAATGTAATAAAGGCCACAGGCCTCTATATGAAATTGAATTTAAACTTTTTATTCCAGGGAATAAAATAATCTTAATCAAACAGTATCTGTTCTAACCTGAAATAGCTAAGGTAGGATAAACGAATGTCAGCACTGAGGGTTTTCTGAATCTCTCCTGATGGTTTATAGCTAGATACTGCTTCCTTTGACTTCAGAAATGATCAGTTTTCCTAATGGCCACTGTGTCTGCTGAGATTGCAATATTCACTATCTACATAAAATGTCATAGTTTCCACAGTTTTATTTGGTGAAAGAACCTCCTCCACCTGCTATCACCTGTATCTTTGCCAAGCTGCATAGCATACATCTATATGTAATGTAAAAGATATATGAACAAGGAAAAAGTGATTTAACTTAGCCCATCAAGAATGTGTCCAAATAGACCTTTCTTAGTCATATACGGAAATGTTTTACATCAGAAATTTTTTTTCCTGCCAGAAGCTTTGAATCTTCCACTAAGAGTACAAAGCCAGGAGCATGTGGTTTATCTAAACATCTTGAAAGCCACTCATTGTTCCTTGGAAGCCACTTGTCCTTTCTTAATGTCTCCCCTATGCAATTAAAATGTTATGGTGAAATCTGTAACATTCCTTTTGCCCACGTGGTACAAAATGATTAGTGCATAAAAACTAAATGTAACTGTATGTTCTAGATGAAAATGTTTAGGAAGAGGGATATCAGAAGGTCTAGATAGAGAAAGATTTTTAAAATTCTTAGTATATGGATGCTAACTATTAAAAGCTGTTTTCCATTGCCTGGAAAGAAAGCTTTTGTTCTATTCGGTGTTTCAAGCCATGGTCATCCCAAATTCTTGTCACTCTTTAAATGTTCATGTGACTTTGAGCAGAAAAAAAATACATTTTCAGTTTTGTGCACTGATGCTACTCCCTAATTGCTTAGATGTATTGTCCATCATAGTCTCTCAGAACTAGAAGTAAATATATAAATCCTTAGAAATTATCTGGTTCAACTTTCTCATATTGCATGAAAAAACCTGAGACCCAAATCAAAGACTAGAGTTCTTAGCTTCTCTCATTTTTTTTCCTTGTAACACCGTGCTGCCTTTCCTTCATATCACCTGACCAGTAGCTGAGTTCAAAAATTACATATTTCTTGGGGCAGTCCTCTACTGGTACATGATGTCAGGTTTCTTTCTTTCAAAGATAATTGCCTTCTTTGCCTAGTCAAGCTGTCAGTTTTATTGAAGAAAAGCAAGTTATATATTCATAAGCTTGAAGGCTTTCTGCCTGAAAAGCAGTTTATGGGCATAATTTCTTTCATCTGTGGTTCTGGTGTTCCCATTGCTTTTGACTTACAGTGGACAAACTTGGTTAACAGTGTGCTCTAAATATAGTGCTCGTACTGGGTTAACCTTTCCATTAATTTCTCCGAGTCCAATTCTTCCAGGCCTCTAAAGTGTGGTATTGAGGCCCCTGAAGGCTTCCAACCTTCACCAGTAATGCTGCCAGTTACTGGGGCTTCTCCCAGGAGGTGTCAAACCAGTCTTAAAGATATTTCACTGTGAAAGTAGGAACTAAACTATTAGCTCGCTTTTACAATCTTCCTCTTAGTTTATCATCCAAAATAGTATCCAAAACGATAGCTTGCATTTAACATTGCCAAGCACATACTGGAGGGTACAAATTATGCAACCATGTGTTTTGTATCTTCCCTTTTGAGTAAGGATGTTAAATTAAGGTAAGTTTTCTGTCTTTTGTCTTTTATAAATTATTTCAGCTCTCTGGTTTATCGAGATGTCTTCTTTCTTAGTAGAGACCTTCAATTTTTATAGATTAGATATGCATGCATTTATTCAGAAGCAACCCCCAGAGCCAAAAAGTAATAATTTTGACAGCACAAAGTTAGGATGCGGTGAGGCTTGTGAGTAAAGGCACTCACGAATGTCTGGAAAGAGGGTGTGGTGGTTATCGTGGTAAAGTTTCCATATCTCACATACACCTCAAAGTGCAGGTGTGGGTCAGCCATTTTCCATCTATAAAGAAGTGATTGCTGAGGCATCATGAAAGATGGGACTGTCCAGTTAGCTATGCCCTTCACCCTCAGCCCAGAAAATATTTTAACAGAAGAGCGGGTTGGTATAAAAACTACAAAAGGAGGCAGAATATGTGTGGCAGAAAAGGGACTGGGGTAGGACTAGCCTAGGATGAGTGCAGAAAACATTCAAGATTTGGGGGCCTTGGTACAGATGTCCTAATCACTGTGGAGGTCTGCAATAAACACTTCAACGTGGCTTTGATATTCTCTACTTCCTGGTCTTTATAAATGACCTAAAATTTTTCAGTTTCCTCTACTGTGTTTTATAGAGAAAATTCTATCTTGTGATATTGAGCATTTGAGACTTATGAAGGTATTAGGCCAGATAGCTCAGGAATGTAAAGGGTCAGAAAAGATTTATTTTCTGTGATTAACAAATTCAGTGGATTCTATGGTTGACCTTGGTGCTTAAACCAGGAGGTTCCAATCTAGTCCTAGAGTTCTGTCCCTCTGAAAAGCCCAACTCCATGTGACTAACAAACTGGATATAAACAAAGAGCCTTATTTAATTCATAGATAAGTTGACATATCTCAGTATTTTTATTTCAATTAATGAAAATAGTTTTCAACCCCTGGTTACTTACATATTGCTGGGCTCCCCAACTGACCATTGTGGAGACCAATTAGTGAAGGAATGAAATTCACTTTTGGGGGACTGTGGTATTCTACAGAGCCGCACTTAACCACTTTTTCCAGTGTAGAATCTACAGAATGATAATATCCAAATATGGATGGCCAAGAAGAATTCGTATCTACAGTGTACTTTATGTATTTTTGACACTGCTGTATGCTGTGTGACCGAGTGACTTGTAACTGGTTCCAGTGTGACTGAGTGTTCTCAAAGAATTCTAGTAACGGAGTCAACTTAATTTTCTTAAACCTGGTATTACTATTAGTCTCACATTTACCACTTTGATTCCAGTCTTTTAACTGTTCAGATAAGGCATACCAAGGGTTGGGATGAGAGCCTACTTCCTACCTCTTAAGGCACTTTCCTCATTATTTTGCCATATAACCTTGAACTGCATGATAAGCTGTTTAAATGTCCATGACTTCTCCCAGAGCAACTAGCAAACTATATGGCATTTTGAATAGAGATTAGTGGAAAGGAAAACTTAGAGATTTAAGTTCAGAGGTGCAAACCTTGAGAAAACCTCTTTAGAGCACATGCCATTTGAATACAGTATATGTAAACGTATATGAGAAGAGAGTTGCTATAATAGTCCTCTCTAAGTAGATTAGTTCAATATCTAATGGAAGTGAACATTTTTACTCCTAGTATCGCTATAGTACTGAATGAACTGTATACTGAGTTTTTCAAACAAGTATTTAAGATAAAACTTTTAAATACAAAGCAAGGGCATAAGGATAAAGATTTTGGTTGTGTTTCTGTAAGTGTAGTTTACCATCTAAAGCTTTGTTTTTTAATTAAAAAGAAGCTTCAAGGTAATGGCATTCCTTAGCATCCTTAATGATTATGGGTGATGAGTTTTTAACTCTGAAAATTATATACATGTATTAGTTTATCTTAACTCTTGCCCTAAACAAAAGGGAAGGTATACAGCTAAGGGATGTAATTATTTTGGATTTTTGGCCATGGGTGGGAAAGGGGTGGGTATCTACTTAAACAGTTTTTAAAAAAGAAAAAAAATTACAAATATTTTTCTACTATTATATATGATCTTACTTTATACTAGTTTCTCTCCAGTAAGGCATGCCAGAAGCCCAAGGTACCATATTATGAGTTCTTACGTATTGTACCTTTTATTGGTAATTAAATCACATCAGATGCTTGGCATTGCTGCCATAATTATGAAGTGCTTGTAAAGGATCAAATATCACTGAATACTTTAAATTGTTTTACTTAAGAGTCTAATCTGGGAAGTTTTCAAATCATACTATTAATGTGTAACCTAAGCTCTTTCAGATGTATCCATGAATAATCCTGGAACAATTGCTTGTATTCCTGTCATAGAACAGGTTTTGTAATCTTTAAAAGAAATGAAAATTTATATAATAAAGTTTCAAATCAATGCATATATGTCCCTTTTGTCAGATTATTTCGATTATATGATTAATCTTTTGTAATATCAAATTATTCTACTCAAGGTATATTTATGAAATTGGATCAATAGAACTTAAAACAGGAATGGGTTAGTAAGGGCAAGGAGCCAGTAAGTGGCGGGTGGTTAAGGTGCTGGACTCCCACATAGCTGACCACGGTTTGAGTCCTGGACCCAGCAGCTTGAAACTCATGCCAGGCACATGTGCATGCATGCTCAAAACCCTGAGAGGAGAATGGAGGAGAAGAGGTTGCAGCATGGCCATCCCTCCTAAGGGGGTGATTTCTCACTTTCCCTCTCTCTGTCTCTGTCTGTCTCTGGCATGTGCACACACCCAATGACAAAAAACTAAAAATAAATAAGTGCAAAAAAAGTTTCCTGTGCATAATCTTGTTTAGCTCTAAAGGTTTGTTAAACTCACATGAATCATAGCTCTTACTCAGTACCAAACTCGATTACAGAGTGATCAGTAAGCACAGATGAAACATTTTTTTCTAGAGGGGTCCAAAACTACCAGACTTAGCTCCAAAAATGTCCTTTTTCTCCTTCATTATAGTACATTTTGGTTCAGAATTAAAGGACAAGTGTCTTTTTATGTGTTGTATGTGGAGACCTTGTTCAATGGAGGCAATCATTTGATTTTGCAAAATCCCCTTTTTGTACTTCAATAGTTACATGATTTAAATGATAAGCCTGGGGCCAGCAGATGGCATAGTGGTTAAGGTGCTAGATTCCCACATACCCAACTGCTGTTGGAGTTCCAGACTTGGCAGCTTGATAATCACACTGGGTGCATGTGCATGTGTGCCCAAAATCCTGACAAGAAACGGAGGAGAAAGGACTGTGGCATAGCCATCCCTCTTTGGGGGTGGTTTCTCACTTTCTCTCTCTCTGTCTCTGTCGCTTTCCAGGGAGTGTACACGCCCTATGGCAAAAACCTAAAAAATTAAAAAATGATGAGCCTTGGGACCAGCAGTTGGTGTAATGGCTATGTCACTGGATTCCCATGTAGTCGACCGTGGTTCAAGTCCTGGACCCGGTAGCTAAAACTCACGGTGGGCACGTGTGCGTGTGTGCCCAAGATCCCAAGAGGAGAATGGAGGAGAAGGGATTGCAGCGTGGCCATCCCCCCGGGGGGTGATTTCTCACTTTCTGTCTCTCTGTCTGTCTTTCTGGCAAGCGCACATGCCCTATAGCAAAAACCTCTCAAAAAAAGAAAAAAGAAAAACCAGATGAGCCTTGATGCTTCTGCAACTTTGTGTTAATGTACCATGAATTGATAAAACTGACATACATAAGAAAAGCTAGGTTAAGAAAGTGCAGGATGCTGTAGCAATATACAGCAGGGTTGCCTAAGGATCAGGCAGTCCTAAGGAAACCAGTCAAACTGAGACCTAAAAGGGGAAGGGTAAAATAGGATATAGAGATTGGGGTCCAGCAGGTGGCATAGTGGTTAAGGCACTGGACTCCCATGTGGCTGGCCCCAGTTCAGGTCCCAGACCCAATGACTTGAAACTCATGCTGGGAGCATGTGCATGCGTGCCCAAAATTCCAAAAGGAAAATGGGAAAAGAGATTGTGGTGCAACCATTCTTGCTTTCGTCTCTCTGTCTGTCTCTCTATCTGACAAGCACACACACCCTATAGCAAAAATGTCTAAAACAAAACAAAACAAAGATTCAGAGAAGAGGCACTCAAAAAAAAAAAAAAGTTCTGTATGGCAGCTGGAGTTTAAATTTTTTTTTAAAAAAAGAATTATGTAACTTTATTATTATTATTTTTTAGTTTGACCAGAGAGAGAAGAGAGAAAGCAAGCCATCAGGTCCAGTACTCAAACCATGGTTTGCCATTTGGAAGTCCAGCATCCTAACCACCATGCCACCTGCCAGCCCTGAAATAATCTTAAAGGCATGAGACTCAAGACCAGTAGGAGCCAGATCATCAAAGTCATAAATCATATAAAGGAACTTGAATGGTATCTCTGGGTTGTTTACCCTAGTCCTTGTTCTTTATTTCTTCTTCTATCCAGACAAACCTCATGAACTTATCTCTTCAGAAATACCCTGAACTTCTTTACATTTTTGCCCTTATACTGCACCCACTGAGCAAAATTCCAATCCTGGAGCATTTGGGTTAATGCTGTTTGTACGTTTCTGGATATGTTGGAAGAATCTATGCAATTATGCATACCGATACCGCTACAAGCTTACGTTTTCAAATCCCAACTAAGCCTGCAGTAACATTTGTCAATTCTTTATTTTTCCTTGGTCAGATCTATTCTCCCATTTCTTTTCTTTCTTTTTAGCAGCTTTATCAAGATAAAATTGACATGCCATAAGAATCACCCATTTAAAGTGTATAATTCGATGTTAAAATGTGATACTCTGCAAGGCTGACCCATGCAATAAGGTTCTGGGTTCATACCTGGAGACCTCCCTGAGTACACTGGGCACACGTATGTCTATAATCTGGTGTTGGCCAAAGCTGGGGGTGCATCATGGCATTGAGATCCCATCGGGGGTATACCCTCTCATGGAGGAAATATACTTAAAGAAACAAATTATAATTAAATGTTTCTTAGTATATTTACAGAGTTGTACAACCAATATCACAATCTAATTTTAGAATATTCTTACTATTCCAAAAAGAAACTATACCCCAGCCCAAGCGACCATTGTCTTTTGTTTGGCCTATAACAGTAGCCTTCTACTTGGTCTCTACTTCTGCTTTTGCCCCCTTTTACCCTAGTCTCTATACTTGACACAGAAGCCAAAATGATCTGTTTAAAATCTACTAAGGATTACAGTAAGTAACCTAGTCTCCTTACGTCTTGGATCTCATTTCCTCAAACTCTTCCCCTTATTTCCACACTTTAACCATTGGCCTTCTTGCTATTTCTTTAATAAGGCAAGCAGGCTCCCACTCAGGGCCTTTGCCCTTGCCGTTCTCCCTGCCTTGTACACATTGCCTACAGATGTCCATTCAGTTCATCTCTATTCTGATGGTCGGGCAGATTTGGGAACCATCGTATAGTAGAGAAATGAAGCCTGATGAGGGTCTTGACTTTGCCTTTGTTTTAGTTGTTTGTATCCTTTGAGGTTTTATACTGGGTGACTGACAGAAAACGTTTATTTTTTTTCTTAGTTTTTTTGCCATTGGGTGCATGGGCTGCCCAGAGAGAGATAAACGGAAGGAAAAGGAGAAATCTTCCCCCAGGAGGGATGGCCATGCAGCACCTTCTCCTCCAGTCTCCTCTCGGTGTTTTTGTCATGCACACACATGCACCCAGCATGGTATTCAAGTCAGTCACGTAGGAATCCATATCTTAACCACCATGCCACCTCCTGGCCCCAAAACTTTTGATCTTTAAACATGAACTTCTAGACACTTGGAGTCTGATCACTTATTCTGTACCAGACACAATTGCTAAACACCAAATGCATTATGTCAGTTTAATTCCTGCAACAACCCAATATGGTATTATTTGTGTAGTCAATTTGCAGATGAGAAAATAGGTTTATAAAGAGATTAATAACTAAGATAATACAATAATAAATTGCTACAGAGCCTGGAGTTGAACCCAGATCTCTCTAATGCCAAAGCCCAAGTTCATAATCATTTGACCTTTAAGCAAAACACAAAGAAATTTCATAAAGACATTTTTCATCCTCACCTTTATAAATTGTGAAACATTGCAAATAGAAAGAAAAATCCAGATGTTTGAGTCCCTCATCTTTCTGTTCCCCTTGGAGAAGTGCATCTTGTCATTCGGTTTTTCAACCTCAGCTCTATTTGATATTTGGGGCTGGATAATTCCTTATCTGGGAGGATGGTGGTTGTGGTGGTTGTAGGATGTTTAGCAGAACCCTGGCCTCTGCCCACTAGCTGCAAGAGACATGGTCTCCCCTCCCCTAGCTGCAGCAACCAGAAATGTTTCCAGACACCGCCAAATGTCCCTTGTAGAAAGCCACTGTGTTAGATCATTATACTTGATTGTTCTGTCTTCTAAGTATGTCCATTTCCCTAGAGAGATGATATTAAAACTGTAATATTTGCAGAAAGGTAATTTACTTAAAATAGGTTTATGTGCTTAGAAGCGAAGCTATTCATCCAGCATAGCCAGCCATGTTGGTTTGTTACAACTGCAAAGCATAACACAGCGCCACAGAAGAAGGGGCTTAAACAATAAAAATCTATTTTCTCAGTTTGGGAGGCTGGAGTCTGAGATCAAGGTGTCAGCAGGGTTGGTTTCTTCTGAGACCTCTCTCCCTGGCTTCCCATTTACATGGTGTTCCTCCTCTGTGCCTGTGTTCTAACATCCTCTTATAAGGACACCAGTGGTGCTAAATTAGGGCCTACCTTAATAACCTCACTTAACCTTAATTGCCTCTTTTATTTTATTTATTTTTAGAGAGATTTTTTGCTATAGAGTGGAAGTACCTGACGTTAGCTTTAAGCCACTGGGTCCAGGATTCAACCATGGTCGACTAGATAGGAATCCAACTCTTTTTAAAAGTTTATTTTTATTTCTTCCATGATATGTGTGTGTGTGTGTGTGTGTGTGTGTGTGTGTGTGTGTATCTGAGAGAGAGAAATAGTACCCCAAACAGGGTCTTGCTGAGATCTACCCCAAGCCTGTAGCCAGACCCAGATCACGGCAAAACATGACATCTCAGAGAGGTATCTGAGCTTGAACCTTCCTATGTAGGATTCAGTGCCTCTTAAAAAGCCCGGTCTCCAAATACAGTCATATTCTGAGGTACTGGGAGTTTGAATTTACACATAAATTTGGGGAGGGGGGAGGGACACAATTCAGCCCATAACACTGAATTTAAGTCTTCTTCCTTGTCTTCCTTCTTTACCTCTTGCGTGTATTGAGCACCTATTATGTACTGTACATTCTGCCAAGTCCTCGTAGTGATAAGCTACACTCCTGGCCTCTGCCTGGCAAGGTTTACAGTGAGGTAAAGAAGACATATTTAAAAAGTAGTAACAAGTGTCCTGCAAGTGTTTTGCTTTGGTAATGGATGACAGGAAGGCTTTGCCCTTCTCCTCAGCCTCTCAAGCTGGCTGGGCAGGTGAAAGGGCCACAGAAAAACAGCTAATTTCGAGGTTAGTGAGTCAGCAACTTGTCAAATCTGGAGCCCAGCATTTGTTACTAAGCAGCACAGGTCTACGGTTGGCCAGCAGCGGGCGCTGCCTCCGCGCGCCCTTTATTGTGACGTAAGGCTCCGCCCTCGCTCCCTCCCTGACTCCACCTCCTTTTTACTGGACGCCCCCACGCGCCGCGTCCCCTCCCGCCTGCCGCGAACCCTCCCAGAACTCACGCAAGCAGCCGCGACGCCATTTGCTGCTGCCGAGCGTGGGCGCAGGCGGGGCTAGCCAGAGCTTGGGCGCGATTCTCTCCCGCGCCGCGCTGCCTGTCCCTTAGCACCTGCTTTTTTCAGCGAGGTCCCTCGTGTCACTCTTCGGAGGAGTCACCGCAGCCGCTGGTGCCACCCGGAGACAAGTCAGAGACTCCTTGAGGCCGCCGTCCCCGCCATGCCCAAGAATAAAGGTAATGCCGCCTGGACCCCGGACCACGACTCTGCTCGACCCGGACTCCCTGGCTCTGCTTCTGGGTCGCCCAGGCTGTAGTGACTAGTTTTTCCCTTCCCTTCCTGCTTCCCTGCTGGTGGTTGAGTGCTCCGCACGGGACTCCGAGGTCGGAAGAGGAGCTGGGAAGTTACTCGTGTTTCCCACTTTGGTCACATTGGGGTGGAGCCGACGCCATTTTTGTAGGGCCTCCTGCGGGAGAATGTGGGTTTTTGCTCCCGGTTCGCGCCAGACTGACCCACTGCGTGATGGGGCCCGGTGGGAAGACCTCCCCCGGGATGGCCTGGGCCTTTCAGGTGGACTCCTTTGACCTTCCCGGGCACAGAGAGTCAAGTCCTGAAAGCAGTTCTGAACTTTAATAAGGGTGCTGCTTGCTTCGTGACCATCAGGTACTAATGCCTGGGTTTCTTTAGGGTTTGCTTAGGGTCAGTAGTTCGGTATTCTTGAAACTATTCCCTGTTTGAAGAAGCGGGCAAAACCTTGATGCATTTTCAAGGTTCATATCTAGAGATGTATACTCGCCTCCATCCCATTTCGGGATTTAACTTATTTTTTTTTCCCAGAAGACTCGTTGCATACTTAGTCAAGTTTCTTTTGCCTGAGATCATGTATATATGATTTTAAATACTTCAAGTTCTCTCCATTCTTAGTCTGAACAAACGTTTACAAATAATCATCAGACTTGAGAATAAGTTTATTTGGGGTTTCCAAAATGGAAGCCCTAATCTAGCTAAAAGCAGAAGATGCCTACAGAAACTCTTGTTTTTATACTTTTACAATGTTTCTGTCATTTTTAATATCTTTAATTTTTTTTAATTGTGCAGGTAGAAATAGGGGAAATACTGTATTTTCTGCTGTAGAGGAGCATATTTCACAGCCAACAAGAAGTCTCCTTGGATTTTTATCCATAGGACCTTCTCTCCTGACCTAGGCCTACTTGTGTTCGCTTTTCTATTTGACAGCTGGCTCCAAGGATTGTACCTTATTTCCTCCTTGTAGCTGTCACTACTTGCTTTATCCCTCAGGGTACTTGTGCAGGCCTTTCAGGGCACTTCACTTTGCTTTCCTAAGAAGTCAAACTTAACAGGGTTTTGTTTTGTTTTTGTAGCAAGGACTTTATTGCTCATTATTTTGGGAAATACAGGGTGATAAACGGAGAATGTTTAAAGTCTTACCATTTTTTTCATATGTTCTAAGATGGTAACTGGATCACTTCAGTAGGTATATTCTCACCCTCATTTCTAGTGACGAGATTTCCATTTCTCTCACTAGACTGTGAACTCTAAAGCACAGAAGTAGTATCTGTCTTAATCACATTGGATTGCTTGCATTTGACACTCAGTAAATGCTCAATAAATATTTTTTGGATTAAGTCACCTCTCTTCTATTGACTCCACCCTTAGGTGAATAATAGGTTCCCCTTTGGTACCAAGGGGATAGGACTTGCATTCTCAGTGCCATCTAGTTCACTAGCTTTGTGTCTTGCTTAAGAAAGATCCTATTGGTTTTTGCTGGAATGCCTCTGATTGGTTTAAAGAAGAGATTTGAGAGGGTTTAGTTTTAGAAACTAACTTTGAGAATGTTTATTTTACTTTATGCTACTTTAACTGTGGTATACTCAGACCTGGTCTCATTCTTTCAAAAGAAAATTTAAAGAGCATTCCATTACATGACAATAAAATAGAGAGGGGAATGATCAGGGTATAGTTTAGATAATTATAGATAATATAATGAACACATGAGAGTCCATTACTCTGAATTTAAGAATTACAACACCGGGAGTGGGCAGGCAGGTTGTGTGGTTGGGGTGCTGGACTCCCACGTGGTCATCCCCAGTTTGAGTCCCAGAACTGACGGCTTGCTTTCTCACTTTCTCTTTCTCTTTCTCTCTCTCTGGTCAAATTTTTAAAAAAAATTATGATAAATGAAATTAAATAAATCTCGTTTTTAAAAAATTTACAGCACAGATTGATTTTAAGCCCCCCCCCCATACTCCTCACAAATCCCTTTCATACTCTTCCTCTCTTTCTGGTGTAAACGCCTTGCTACTTTGATGTTTATCATTCCTATGCCAAAAAAGAAAGAAAGAAAAAAAAACTATGTGTTGAATGACTTGTACTTTGGACTGATTATTTTTTTGAGAGTTTTTTTTCCTATAGGGTGCGTGTGCTCACCAGTAAGACAGAGAAATCACCCCCCAGGGGGGATGGACATGCTGCAGTCACTTCTCAATTCTCCTCTTGGATTCTGGGCACGCACACAGACGTTCCTGGCGTGAGTTTAAGCCCCCGGGTCTGGGACTCAAACTGCAGTTGACTACATGGGAGTCCAGCGACATAGCAGTTATGCCAACTGCTGGTCCCTGGACTGATTCTTATCAGCTTGTTTCATCTATAAATTCTTGGAAATTCATCCTCAAATCAGAAGAAAGGGCATCCTTTGGCCCACTCATGGAGAGCAGTTAGAATAGAGTGCTCCCATATTTTGACAAGGTTACTACTACCTCACCATTCCTTTAAGAATGTATAGGCTTGGGGCTGACTGGGGGTGTGGTGGTTAAGGTGTTGGACTCCCACAGTTTGAGTCCTGGACCTTGCAGCTTGCCTTCTCACTTTCCCTGTCTCTCTCTCGTCAAAATAAAAGATAATAACATAAAATTAAATAAAAAATTTTTCATAAAAGAAGGAGAAGAATGTATGAACTGCTCTTGACTGACTGATTTGAGGAACTTCAAAGCTCAGGTATAGGTACATAACTCTATACAGAGCAGGGATGATCCTTGCCCTAACGGAGCTTACACTCTAGTTTGAAGATAAAAGTAATGGCTCGAAGTACTTTTTTCTTTCTGGGAAATTAGTGCCGTAAGAATGTCTCAAATACTGAACTCTGGGTGGGGTAGTAAATTGTAGAGACCTGCCTAACATTAACACAGCAATGCGAGACTATGATCCGAGAGTCACTTCACTTGCTTCAAGAAGCTAAGTGTCTGTTTTTGCAGTGGCCAGGTGCGTATTCGTAATTATATCTGAGTGGTAAACTTTTTGCTTCTGGGCTCTTCTCCTGAGTCCCTTAGCATCTCTCTACCTTTCTTCCGTCTTATGAACATGAACGCCAGTGTGGCTAAAGTTGTGGGAGGGAACAAAATGCTAAGTAGAGGTACTACCTTCACGTAGATGGTAGGAGCCAAAAAAGATTAGGTATGAATCTGGTTGTTCCTGCTCACTGACTGTAACCTTAAGTGAGTTGCGGCTGACCATTGAACAGCACAGGATTGGAACTGTGTCTACTTATATGTGGATTTTTTTTTTAAATAAATGTTGTAAGTGTATTTTCTTTCTGATTTTTCTTAATTTTTCCCTCTAGCTTCATTATATGAATACAGTATATAATACATATAGCATACAAATGTATTACTTGACTGTTCATGTTAACAGTAAGGT